TTTTTTTTTTTTTTTTTATATAGAGGTTTGGGAAATCCTTTATGGACTACCCCCGCTTGCGGTCATAGCGGGGGGGCGTGCGGGACTCCCTTCCATCTAGGTAAGGTTTACCCGCTAAAACCCTTTCCTCTGCCAGGTGTGACATGGCCGGGTATCACCTCCCGGTATTCTTCTGCAGCCATGTCCGGCCGGCGCACCTATCGTGCGCCTGGATGTTACCGCACCCTCCTCTCTCTTGCCCTGGCTTCTCTTTCCCTTATGCCTCCGATCTTTTCTATCAAGGCCCCTATCGCACGCCACTTCCTGTCTTCGCTAATCATTTGCCCAACGATGCTCTCCGCCACGAGGCGAGCTCCTATCTCACTCTCTAGTATGATCCTTTCGCTCTCCCATCGCGCACACTCCATCACCGCATGCCCCGGAGGGTCCTCCTCTCCACAATCTGCACATTTATTGTCTTGCCTCTTCTTGATTTTCTGAAGATATTGTCCGTTTTCACCATGCCCTGTCAGAAACTGGGTCAGATAGTATCCAACTTCTCCATGTCCCCTTTCGCACCACTCGCGCACTCCCCGCACTAGTGTCCTAGTCCAGGAGTTCCTCACTTCCCACCTCCTCTGCCATTCCAGATATACCCTGTCCTTTGGCCACTTTTTTGCCCTTGCTTCAATAGCCACTTCCGCCGGGCAGATCCCCGCCACAACCAGCACATCGTCTAATTGAACTGTCCTGTACGCGCTACATATACGAATTGCCAGCAGCCGAATGACTTTGTTCGCCGCCGCCATTGCCACTCCCCATTTCGTGGCCGGCAACCACACCTCTGCCGCGTATAAAAGACTCGACAGCGCCGCGTACGCAATCACCTTTCGCTTACTTGCCCTTGCTCCTCCAGTGTTTGGCATAATTTTGCTGAGCGCCCCATACACTCTCATAGCCTTTGCGCTCGCCTCTTGTGCGTGGGGGATGAACGACAGATTTTTGTCGACCCACACCCCCAGCACTTTTATCTTGCCTTCCGAAAGAATCGTTTGTCCCAAGGCTTCAAGTCGTACCACCGCAATTCTTCTTTTCCCCGTGAGCAGAGCCAGTTTCGTTTTCCGTGGCACCAGCTCCAGACCTCTTCCTTCCATCCACTTTCCCACATTCTCGATTGCCGTAACCATTTTCCTCTTCGCCCTTTCTAGTTCCCTATCACGCACTATCAAAGTTATGTCGTCCGCAAAGGCCACCGTAACCACCCCGCTTTCACCTGTTAGGCGCAAAACCCCATCGTACATCACATTCCAGAGCAGGGGTCCCAGAACCGACCCCTGCGGCACTCCCGCACTATTTATGAATGTGTACGATGCACCCGACGGCATACACGCGCTCACTTTCCTACCCGTGAGGTAACTACGCACCAAGCGCACTAGCTTCCAGGGCACTCCAAACTCCCGCAACTCACTCACGATCGCCTCCCGCGAAGCCGAGTTGAATGCATTTCTGACATCCAACGATGCCACGAGGCACACTTCTCTCCTTCTCCAGGTCCCCTGGTTGGCTCCTTCCACTTGTTCAACTATCTCCTTGAGGGCCTCCACGGTTGATCTCCCTTTTCTAAAACCGTACTGTGCCCCGCTAAGTCTAGGCTCGACCACCGCCTCCAGCCTCTTCTTAATGACCTTCTCCGCCACCTTCCCGGCGAAATCCGTGAGACAAATCGGTCGGTGTCCGCCGCCGCTTTTAGGTATTAGTACCAGTCGGCTATCTTTCCATCTGCTAGGGTAATTACCAGTTTCAATCGCCCGGTTAATAGCTGCAACCCAGGCCTCCGGAATCGTAGTAGCAGCCGCCTTCACTACACTAGCAGGCACCCCATCAGGCCCAGGGGCTTTCTCATTTGGAAGGGTCTTGGCTACCTCAACCACTTCCGCCTCCACCACCTCCTGTATACTTTCCTCCGGGTCACCCGCCTCCTCGCCTGGCCCTAGCTCCGGGTGGGCGGGAAACAAGCCCTTTACCGTTTCCAAAAACGCCTCATCTGTCCATCCTACCTCCTTAACTTTTCTACCGATCTTCCCCGTCACAATCTGGTACCCTTTTCCCCAAACATCAATATCAAGCTCGTCACACAGCTGTTTCCAACAGCGCCGCTTACTATCCTTGATCATGTCACGCAGCACTCTGCGCTCCCCTTTCCAGACTTCCTTTTCCTGCTCCGACACCCTCCCTGCTCGCAGCCCTCTTTGGTGTATCCTTCTGGCCACATTGCATTTTTTGCGCTGGAGAGCGATCTCCTGCGTCCACCAGTAGACCGCCCTCTTCTTCCCCAACCGTCGCCTTGTCGTCACTTCTTTGCAGACCTCCTGGAGCAGTTCGTCGATCGTATCAGCTTCCCACCTCGACCTTTCAGTAGCTTTCATCTCTAACAGTTTTGTCGTAAGCATCTCTTTGTTAATCTTCCTCGAGTTCCATGGACTGTAAGGGTCGGCCCGTTGCCCCTGTTCTATTGTCGCCTTGGGACTTCCCCAACTCCAAACTATATAGTTATGATCGCTGAAGGAGTCTATTTCCAGCACTTTCCACCCCGTCACCAACTGTTTAACTTCATCTGCCACCACCACAATGTCTATTATGGTCCCGCTGCCCCTCCCCTGGAACGTGGGCAGGGTTCCTTCATTTACGCAGACCATCGCCAAAGCCGCGACCCATTCCTCCACAACCTCCCCCCTTCTATTGGTGTGCGGCGCCCCCCACATAGGGGATGCCGCATTTACATCCCCCGCAACGATCGCTTTTGCACGACCGTTCTCCCTAACTGCTTCACCTAAGCCGTCTAACCTCCATTCCAACTGCACTAAAGTGTCATTTGGCGGTAGATATACACTATATACGAAAACATTTTCTAACAACACCCACACAAATCCAACCCCTTGTCCAACCTTGTCCACAATAAGCCTGTCCCCCGTCACCATTATACCCACCGACCCAGTCAAATCCTTAAACACTTGCACTCCCCTCGTGTCCGGGCCTACCTCCGAAAGCACAAGCACTTCCGCTCCCACTTCCCCAGCCACTCTCACCGCCATATCCAGGGCCACCCTGCTGTTGTTGAGATTAATTTGCAGCGTTCTAAACACCATCTTGGTTGGGTTTATCTATTTCCTCCTCCTGGTTTTGGACTACCTCTTCCTCAGTTCGTGCACCGGCTTGCTCGTCCTCCGGTGCCCAATATGGGTCGTCTCTGGCTTGGGCTTGGCTCCGGGACACCTCTTCCTCCTCCTGTTGGGCTATTTCTTGCTCTTTCGCTTTTTTCCTGTTTTCGTACTCGCACCGTCTGGTGAAGGCTCTGTGTCCTTTACCGAGACCTTGCTCGAGCCCCTCACAACGCCTGCACGTTGGCTCTTCCTTGCAATCCCTGGCCTGGTGTCCGGATTTGCCACAGTTGAAGCACAGGGCGCTCCTGTCGACCCCCGTGCACCTGGCCGCGGTGTGTCCAACCTCCCAGCAGCGAATACACCTCACGAGCTCCGCGCTCAGCCGCACCCGGCAGGACGTCAAACCCACCCGGAGATACCCCTTCTTGGCGATGGAGTCAGCAGCATCTCGATTAACCTGCACGTATGCCACCTGTTGCCCACGGTCAACTGGCACCATCTGTTTAAACCTGCATCTTGCTTCTGGCGACGTCGCCCGCATTATGGCCTCAAGCACCTCCTCGCGGGTGGTTACTGCGCCCAGATCTCTGATGCATAGAGTGCAGTACTCTTCCAGCATCGTCACCTCCCTATCGCTTATCGCAGCACGGATCTTGCAGAGCACCGGGTTCGCTTTGCCGGCACCCTTCTCCACCCTCAGGAGAATATCTCCTGTCCTCGTCTTCTGGATACTTTCGATTCTCGTATCTACTCCGGTCATGTCGGTCTGTCTTATTCGTTTCAGAATGTCATCGCTGTGGTTTCCCCCTTTCAGTCGGACCGGCACCGCCTCCGCTCGTGGCGCCCTACGTTTGGTTGCTGATGCCGCCCCCTCGCTATCGCTGGTCGCCTGTCGCTGCTCCTTGGCTTTGCCCTTCTTCCTGCCGACCTGCCTCCACTCTCCCTCGGACTCCGCGTCGGTGGGGGTTTGTGTCACCAGTCGACTCTTCTGTGCCCTGGCCCTGTTTACTGTTGCCACCGCTTGCGCTACAGTTTCTTCCTCTTCTATCGTGGTAAATCCGGCAATTTCCACCCTCTTCGTCGTTTGCCCTTTGCTGATAGTCCCTCGTCCACTCATCCCCGAGGGTCCCGGCCTCGCGGTAACCGTTGCGTATGTGCTCGCGACTTTAGGACTCGTCTGCGACTCCGTGGTTTTCGTCTCTTTCGTGATCCTGGGTAGTTTGACTGCATGCCCCAT